GGCAATACTATAACAGTGGTATGTAGCAAAACACGTTATAATCGAACATGGTCATGTAGCTTTTATTACTTACTAATCAGCCATAGCACCAAATAGTAAGGATCCAATTAAAACACCTCCAAAATATATCGATTGTGCTAACGACGCTTTGGATCCATCATCACACACTAGGTCGAACTGAAATCAAAAGCAAACAAAGTAAAGAAAAAATGTCATTTTTCTGGCTAAAGGTCCCATTGTCCTATGCAAAATTCCAAAAAAATCATAAAAATTAACCTGCTCATTCTGAAGTAACAAAAAATTATCAACATAGAAAATGGTTTATTTGAAAAATGTTTACCCATAATTTTACAGTGAATAATGATAAAAACACTTTCAGTCACTGGAAGTGTTTTATTATTTTTATTATCATTATTCCATATAAAAATCAAGGCACACATTTTTATAATTCAATAATTTCTATGTTTAAGCTAATAATAGTTACGTCATTGCAAAATGATCAAGTGACTTTCAAAATTCAGTCGGTCTGTTCATCTGTTCATGTCACGGTACCGTACAAGTTGTGTATTTTGTCGGTCTCTATTGACTTAAAGATGTTTTATTTGTTCTTTATATTGATTATTATGTACCATTTAAAAATGTAAATTTTAAAATCATCATTCCAATGCTAATTCAATTGTATTTTAAAGATTTTGCCATTGGACCATTCAGCGTTTCTTTCACTTACGTCTTCGATGACAGTTGCTTTGTAGGCCAATTTATTGTGTTCATATTCTCAATGCAAATTCAATGGTATTTTATAAATTTAATTACTGGAAAATTTAGCGTTTATTTCACTTACATCTTCGACGACAGTTGCTTTGTACTGACTGTGGTCATATTCCCAGCCGTCTCCACATTCTTGAAGATTTTGATCAGAGAGTTGGCAACGTTCCGTATGCACGTCAAATTCAGAGTATGTGACGTTGCACCTTCTACATTGGTTCTCTCGTAAGATCGTGCCCGAGTCGTCTTCAGGAATAGTTGCGTTGTATTTCAGCGCGTTACAAGTTTCCTCGTCAATACCTTGCCATAGACTACAGTTCTGTTGATCGAGTTGGGGTGCCTTACACCAATGGTCAATTGAAGGTGCTAAGAACACCTGCGCCACCATATGAAACATCGTTGTTGTGCCCATGAAACAAAGTATAAAATAAATTTTTTTTTGGTAAAAACCAAATTCACCGAGGTATTGAAGAATCTCGTCAAACTTCATTTTGTGCGAATTTATTCCTTCACCTACATGCAACCGTCTGGACAATGGCTTGATGTAACATCTGGACGTAGGCCTATTATTTAAACGGACCTTGAACCAATGCTTCTGTCTACATCACAACCCACGATATAACCTAATTTGTATTGGTTTAGATATGATTGTAGGGTGTTATCGGAGCCCTGATTTGTGATACTTTATCTGTCTATTACGTGATACCATCACGCATCGAGATCATGAAGACGTTCCATCATTATCTCAAGTATAACCTTCTGACCCTCTTAATATATTATCTTATTTGGTTTCTCTATCTTGTGTTTTTAGCAGACGAAAACACTAAATCTACACACGTTAAAGCTCAACATCAGATAAAGATAATATTTTCAGTCTGTATTTAACTTTCACCTCTTTAAATATTAATAAATTATTAAAATTAAACGTTATGCGACCGCAAATTTGTTGAAGTTATTTCACATACGACGTCCAAAATGCCTTTATCAACGTTCTAACAAGGTTCCACAAAACGAACCTACATGAACGTGAATGTTTGTGGGACACGCGAGAGTATTTTTTACCCTTGCAATACATTGGTCAGTTGACATATCTCGTAAAATCCACTGACTTTTAAAAAATGACAAATTGAAATGATACAGGAATTGTTGCTACAGCAGATTTATTAGGCATAGAACCTTGTGGATATTAAAGTTCAAAACAGTAAAAACGAATTCAGTGAAAATATATAGGCCTACTTGGCAAATATATAGGTTTATCTAAATGGAAGATTGACAGTGCAATGCACTACTGACAATTAAGTTACTTTAACAACAGACCAGAGGTGAATCCATAGAAAAATATGTGCCCCTGCATTTGCCCTGGCCTTCTCATGAGTTGCCTGGTCAGTGTCAGACAGGACTGGTGATAACAAACTGTATGAAATGTACATACTGTAGTATTATTTTATTTGTTCATTTACTACTTTAATAATAAGTGGAATGGTTCATAGTTTATCATCAACTGAATATCATGTTCTTTTTCGATCTCAAATTAGCTCAACATGCATTGAGTATATCACTTCACCCGAGTTGTCCATTGCCTTGACAACACAAACCTAAAGCTGCATTCACATCGGATCCGAACAAAACGATGTCGATACGCTGAACGCTAGAAGACTTAAGTTATTAAAATTTGGTGTAAATGCACTTTAAGACAGGTTATTGTCCATACTTATCTTGGGTTTTCTGCACGTCCTATAATTCAGAAGACGAGAGCATGCAAAGATAACTCAGCACATGAAGACATTATGTCCTAGATCTTACCGTCATCAAGCAACCGAAAGCTTCCTCTCAAATATTAATTACAGAGATTTAAAAACTCGTCAATTTACAAAAGGCACTTTGAAGTAGTAATGCATTACAAGTGACAACCAATACATATAGTCATTTACGTAATTAATTATTGTACCCTGAGCTCATTTTTATTAAACGTTCAAAGAAACATTTTGACAGCAGTGGTGGCGCCAGGATTTTCCCGACGGAGAGAGATGTACCCGACACGAAGGTCAATTTCCCATAGAATTGCATAAGTGAGTGAGACAGGGCGGCTCAGAACCCCAAAGGGAATCAAGGGTGGGGGGACGAAGCTCCCAGAAACACCAAAACATTTAGGGATTAGAAGGCTCACATTAATCGATTTTAGAGTCTCAAATTCTGTAAAAAAAATCATAGAAGTTATTTCTCCCCAACAAATTATAATTACTGCTACCCATCTCGACGTAAGAGGATGGGTGGTAGGTAGAACCCCCACTAGCGCCACCACTGTTTAACAGCATAGAACATGTTATCAAACCTAAACTGTAATTGCTGGCATCGGAAAAGGAACTTTATATAAAAAAATTTAAAAACTAGCTTTACAATTATGTAACAGTAAGCTTTACATAAAACGCCTATGACCAAATTTATTGTTTCTTTAACACTTGAAAGGTATACCAAGAACACATTATCAGAAATAATGTATATAGTTTGTTAATTTAAAATTCCCACACAAGTATAGTTTTATAAATTATGGATTAAATTCCCCAAACTATAAATAAAAATATAAAATTTCTTATCTAAAAATTAAAAGGTTAGATATCTTTGATACCATTATATTACACAAAATTTATAAAAGCATAAAACAAAGAATATATTGTGCGTAACATGTAACTTCAGCATTCACCAAAATAAATTTTCTATAATTATCCTGTTCGAAAATGTATACAATCTAATGGTATAGTATTGTCTACACATCAATTAAACTGTGCATTGTTTCCAACAGCAATTAAGTACAAAACTTAAAAATCAAGATACATTGCTTTGTAATGAATACGGCCATGCTAATTATCTGCATATAAAAATTATTCTATCAAATAAAAAAAACCCAAGTACCCCAAAAAATGTTATGTTTCTTTAAATAACTATTAATTGGCTAATAGGTGAACTTGATTTAAATTTTAATATGCATTAAGAAGTCTACCATACAGTTTAAGAAGTGAATACACCATGAGTAAATTTTACTCAGAACAGATACTGGAGCGCTATAAATAATCAAAATGATTATTATTACAATAAAAACCTGAGTATAGATGTGTCTATAAAAACTGAGGAAAACCTACAAACTCAGTGAAATCACTGATTAGCCCATTAAAAAATATGATACACATTTAAGAACATAAATATTCTTTGATTTACAAACACTTTACTACAAAATTCTTTAAGAGTCTATCCACAAAATATAGATAATATTATTCATATGTCCATTGATTGACAAGGGATTTGCTTTTCCATTTTGATTTTTAATAGAAAGCCAAGATTAATTATAAAAACAATATTTAGATACTTATAAATTGAAACATACTCTTTTCTGTGACTCCTTAATTTCCCAAAAAATGTTTACATAATATGACTGTTGTCATTAAATGAGATCATATGATAATGGAGTACATACATTGTTGACCACTCTTCCTAATTTGTGCTTTGTACTCCTGTCAAAATGAATGATCCCTTGGACGGTAAATTTGCATTAAATCTGTTAATCAAGTTTAAAATACCCTGAGTAGTTTGATTTCAGCATGGAGGCTTTATCCATTAACTGGCAAAGGCATTTTATACCAGACACTCTCAAAGACTTATAAACCTAACTCACAAAAGATAAAATGTCATACAGATTTTTGTAGTGTGATACTGTTGTCTACACTAAAGTGAATTAAAAGCATGCTAACATCAAGTACAACTGGTAAACAGACAGAGAAGGTATACAGATAGCGAAGATACATATGGCATCTCAGTCAATGATAAGCTGTGCTCCTTTACCATGCACATAAATCCATGCTAAATATCTCAGGAATGTTACAGGCCTCTACAATGTCTGTTTTTCCATCATGGATATTACACAGACATATGACAATATTACACGAGTGTGCATTCACATGGACATAATGTAGCAGTGGATGTATGCTAAGATTTTTTCGTGTCTGAATCAGATATAAACTACAGATAGATAGAATTAGTCTAGAAAAATATATTAAAAGACAAAAACAAACCTAGAAAAAAAAAGACAAATACAAAATTGACACAGAATTATACAACAAGGGTTATCACTTTACAAATTACTTAAATTTTAACTAAAATATCAAGGTTATTACTAACCCTACGATACAGTTAAATATTTAAAAAAAACACACCCAAAACAATTGTTATCGCTTTTATGCACTTGGTGTAGGCGTAGCAGGTTCAACTTGCTCATAAAGAGCATCAATTTCACTCTTATAGGCATTTTCGATTGTTTTGCGACGACTTTTAAATGTAGGTGTCAGAAGGTTGTTCTCAACGCTGAATGTCTCACTGGATAGGTGAATCTTCTTTACCTAAAAAAAATTAGTGAAAAAAATGATATTCATAATCTGAGCAGTAATGTTAGGAAGTGGAGAGCATAAATGCAGCAAATAAAATGCTTAAAAAAACTTTTGTTAATTTGTAAAGTATTACCAGACGATATCATTTTAGCATCATGTACTGTATGTCAACTTACGCCACTAGATTGGATTGGAAATATTTAGTGTGCCATAAGGCCTGTTTATACCTGCAACGATAACGATAACAATAAAAAGCTAATTGTTAATATAGAAAATAATATAAATAAGAAACGTTTTTACACTAGGACGATTCGATAATGACTTATCGTATATACGATAACAAAATATTTTGAAAAATCAATTCAAATGGCGTCATAACCACAAAGAACGATAAAGTCCTAACTACTACGATATTATCGTTTTTCAATGATTATGACGCTATTTGAATTGATTTGTGAAATTACATTTTATCGAATCGTCCTAGTCTAAAAACTCTTATTTATTTTATTTTCTATATGAAAAATTGATTTTCAGCTTTTTATCATTATCATTACAAGTATAAACAGGCCTTTAAGCAAGATAGAAGAGTGGTGGAGTTAGAGGCAGTAGTAGGTAAATGGAAGGGGTAAACACTTATGTTGATAATGATGACAATGATAATGATGAAGATGATGAAGATGACAGTGATGATATAAATATATTAATCAGTAAATTTAATGTTACAACATTTGAGTCCGTTTATATATCGATATAAAAAAATATTCTACTGATGTATTTTTACCTTTTCAAAACTCTTCAAGTTTCCATCCTTTGCTACTTTTTCCATATCTTCAAATATCATATCACAGATATCCTATGGTATCACAAAAAAATGTACTTATTTTTTATTTCTTTTTATTACTGATTAAATTTACAGTATTAATATTAATATGACAATTGATAGTTAGCTTCATAAAAGAAAAGCAATCTGGTGGAATAGGCATGGCGTCATAACCACAAAAATTAATTAATGAAACCTAAGTTTAATAGTATGAACATTGTATAAATCCCTATTTTGATGTTTTCTTGCCTTGTTTTATTTATATTTTACTCTCCTTTTTATAATTTACAGTTTAATTTTGTGGAATGGATTTTCTTCTTACTGTTTATTAAATATATTTTGTATCTATTTTATTTAATTTCTGCAGTTAACTTTTGCTTTTTATGATGTACCTTTATGTGTAATTTGTTAATTGTAAATAAGGTATCTCACGGCCATAATGAAAAACAGCATTGTATTTGTTGATTTGTGCTTCGTGTACAAATAAAGTTTTACTACTACATAGGCATTGAGTTGATTATTTAAATACAAATATATTACAGTTAAAATTAACTTTCGATCAATGTTTCACATGATTTTTAAAATTGTTTAACAATTACAGTTTTGAGTAAAATCTCAGGCATAAAGAACAGTTTTATAGTTCAAAAAATTGAAAATATAGATATTTCCACTCAGTTACATATACAACCAAAAAACGACTCTACTTTCTAAGCCGTAATATGTCTCTGTGAAGCATCTTGTGTGTATGTTTGACTTAGAAAAGTGATAAGGTTTATTGTGTTGCATATCCTTCTGTACCTAAAAATTTATGAATAAATAAATTAATTAAACTTTAATGTTTTTGAATTTCAATAACACAAATCACTGATGGATAAATCAGTAAAACAATAGCTTTTGATTTGTTACCTGATTTTTGCAGAGTTCTTGGAACGTCATGTTAATGGACTTTTCTTTGGCATACTTCATAAGCTGCTCTTCATCTGGTATGATAATGCCCACAATGCATGACTAAAGAAACGGAACGAGCAACACGATTAAGATAAGAAATAGATACTTAATGTCTGTTGATCAGTAACATGAATAAAACCATAAACAATATAATACATAAATAAATAAACAGCATAAAAAGAAGTTAAAAACATTATTAACATTGAATAAATTCATCTGTTTCCAATATTTACTTATTTAAAACAGTGTCATGGAAAATGGACAGAAATCATCAACCTTGGAGTGGTGCATCTAGCATGGTGGGGTAAGTGATGAGAAGCATAATGAGAAAGTAAAAGGGTGCCACATAAAGAAAGTTATTACACTGTGTATTTTTTGTTCTCAGCAAATTTCCACTGTGGGTTTAGGTACTGGAAGAGGAGTAAAACTTTTTCTGGGAGGTTGTGCCTCTCCCCACTCTGTCCTTATACCTTGATACTACAATCAAATTATAAACAACATTAATTTGTAATAAATATTATGTTAATAATCATTAATTATTCAAATTTAGTAGTGTATACCTTGAGACTGTAACCAAAAACGAAAGCCTGAGCAACAAATACAGACTTGATGTAGACATTCTCAATCTTCTCCGGTGCAATATACTCTCCTTGAGATAATTTGAAGATGTGCTTCTTACGATCAATGATCTTCAGCTGCCCAGACTGAAAGCATTAATCAATCAATCAATCAATCAATCAATCAATCAACTAATCAATCACATAAACCAAGGCAAGACTTTTTTATATCATATTTAGCAAACTTACTCTTTTAAAAATCGTCAAAGGAGGGCGGAAAAAAATAAAAACAAAATTTTGTTTTCTCATTTAGCAAAATGACTTTGCCAAAACCATCTAGGTGGAGGAGAGCTTTAAATTTATTTAATTAAGGAAGAAATATATATATCTTATTTTTTGAGATTTCAGGGAAGCAGAGAGCGTAATATAAAATAAATATAAAATTTTATCTTTTTATGAAATTTCCATTTTTTTGGTTGAGTGTGCGCTAACTGGCCAAATTAAAATTTTATTTTTATTTAAAAATCACCATATTTGGCAGTTGGAGAGTGTGTTAAACAAGGTATAAATTTAAAAAATCTATTAAACAAATTATTAGGCAATTTCTGAGAAATTGACTAATTTGTAGAAAAGTGGCAGATGTTATTATTTTATGTATATTACAATCAGTGCCCTGTTCAATCACACATATCTGCCAAATTCAAATACCTTCTTTTCATTGTAGATAGCAGAATAGAGATTGAATAATACAAAAAAACAGGAGATTTTAGTTTAGATCATCATAAACTGAACACTGAGCTATTCCAATAAATGAGGAAACATACAAAAACAAAATAAAAATTATATTATACACTGTAGCTCAGTATATGCCACAAAGCCTCTGGATCATTACTCACACTTTTGTTATCAAAAGTCTCAACTTACCGACATCCATTCACCAATATCACCAGTATGTAACCAACCATCTTCATCAAATGTCTCTTTGGTTCTGGCTTCATCTTTCAGGTACCCCTTGCTAACTATTGGTCCTTTCACACAAACCTACAATAAAATATTTCACATGAATTGTTATTAAAGTACTAGCTTACGTGGATGGAAGTTGAACAACGATGGTGCAATTGCAAATGATATTTTTTGCAGGAAATTGTACAGTAGTGAATAAACATAAAATGAAAATTGAATTCTGAATGTATATACAGTACTTCTAATTCAGAACAGCTTTACCATTGTATGAATCCAAAGCCACTATGTAATTCTATCTTTACAACTCAATTTTTCTAATAGAGTGTTGTACAGTAGGTAAAACACTTTTGATTTGGTGATTCTTTGTTCTGTCGTTGTTTTTTTTAGTTTGAGTATATACTATATACTCTGATTGCTTGTCAACATGTCATGACAGTAAGCCTGCGTTCATACACAACTCGCCTTCACATTTAACGGTATGAACCCAGCGAGCCGCCTGTGGCCCTACAACCAACCCTTGTTCATGCTTTGTAAATTCAGTGGGTAGTTAGAAGGTCACTCGCTAATGATGTTTATGAAATCACCAAAAACCTCATCCATTTCTGCAAAATACAGCCAGTCTGTGGGCCCGTTCCCTGACTTGTTTTCATCCTTAGCCTAGTTGTATTGTTTTTTCGAGTTTTTGCAATTATTAATTATTTGGGCTCTATATTAAAGCCAAAGTCCAGCTCTTCCATCTTCATAATTATCAGCCCGTAGGTTTGTGCGTTCCTCCTTGTCCTATTAAAAGCTTCTTGTATCTGGATAGACCCCCACACACTTATCAGTCCGAAAGTATATATACGTATAGCATGGTGTACCTATCTGACCCTCAATGTCAACAATACCATCAATTGTGTGCACAAATCATTAACCTCATATAGATTACAATCATTAATCTTATCAATATATTACAATCCTTACATTAACCTCAAAGGTAAGTAATTAATCAATATTAAAATAACGATTTGCAATGCATTATGTTCTACAGTAACGTTACCAGAGTGCATTGCAGGTACTTTATTGTTATTACTCTAACGTTACTGTAGAACATAATGCATTGCAAATCGTTATTTTAATATTGATTAATTACTTACCTTTGAGATGATATGAGTTTCATTGATGATAATGATGATATTAACACTGAGGTTAATAATGATGTATCAACGAGGTTAATGTAAGGATTGTAATATATTGATAAGATTAATGATTGTAATCTATATGAGGTTAATGATTTGTGCAGGAAGATAAGAAGTTTACAAGAGTCGTAAACAAAGATGTTAATTAATTGAGATGTTTAATTAGTGATTTGATGAAACTATAATCACTGAAGTTGAGTTAATACATGATGTTTTTAGAATTTTATTGTTTTCCTGAAGCTTTGGATATGATTATGACCGAGGTATGCTTCATGGAGTGATGTACACTAATTGTTTTAATTCTCTGATTATTATTTCAGGGGTTCTTTGTTTTCTAATAATATGTTACGGTTAATAAACGTTGATACCACGTTACTTTGGTCTTAGTTCATTCTTTGACTTGACGTTTCGCCCACGACAGACTCTTTGGAGAATTTAGAGAAAAGGGGATTGGAATAATGCTGCAGAGGACACTTATCGCACTCGCAGCATGAGGTATGCCTATTTTGGACATCTCTCATTAGTAGGCCTAGGCCTGTAGGTCATAAATGTCATCACCGAGGTCACGAGGATTCGTCTCGGGCAACTTTTTAACCAGCAAGTTTGGTGGGTTGGCTAACTTGCTTTTCGGCCAGATTTTTTTTTCAATTGAATTATATTCCCGCTAACATTCAACGGGTAATAACATAAGCATGAACGGGGCCTAAGTACTTACTTCTCCCTTATCTTCGCTGGCACTGTATCCCATATCTGGTACATCTATCAACTTGATCATACAGGAGGGGATGACTGTTCCAACATGACCACAGGTGAGATCTCCAGGATAACTGTAAGTGCATGCAGCTGTGCACTCTGTTTGACCATAACCCTCAGATACCTGCAAACATAACATATGAATTTAATTTGATTGGCAGGTACAATGGCCACCATTATTTTCATACTTAATATATTGTCTTTCCATTACCACATTTTCTTGATGATGTATCTATATATGGTCATGATGTGTCTATATATGGTCATGATGTGATATCACCATGACCATATTTAGGCATGTCACATATGTTTTTGTCAAATAATATTTGGTAGTATGAACAGCTTTATTGCTGTTTTGTGTGACATGTGACATACTTACCCAGCATCCCATAGCTGACCTGAAGAAGAGCATCTTATCAGCAGACAGTGGGGCAGCCCCAGAGACCAATAACCTGAGTTCACCACCCAGGATTCCCTGCAAGTAGAGCCAAGATACCCATACAGTAATGGTAAAATCATCATATTTATCTTAAATTACTATGGCGGAATTGTTTATTTATTCCAGCTTAAAGTGATTACAAGAAGCACTGACGTATATTTGCTTGCCAACTGCTGGCTGTCTGAAGGTCGTTAATGTCAGTTGATTTGGGTCAAGTCACTAGCTTAAGAATCATAATGACATCTAGTTTATAGAGAAGCATTTCCATCTTGTAGGTCAGGGGCGGCCATTAAAATTGGTAGGAGGGCCAAAGTGAATTTTTTATTCAACTCTGTGGGCCGCACCCAAACTTTGATGTTTCAGTGCACTTCACCAAAACCTTCACACACTTTTATGGCCACTTTATGCTCAGTTTTACTATTACTTTTACAGATGATCGGTGCTGGGCTGCAAAAAAACAAGGTGTTTTCTAGCCAAAGAAGGTTGGCGGGCTGCACACATACTGTAGGGTTTGTAATTTATTTTCGCGAGCTGCAAAAAAAAAAAAACTATCGGGCTGCACTCTGCTCACCTGTGCTATAGGTGATGAGTCAGCAACTAATAGATGAGAATGATATTCAACATTTAACAAATAATTATTATAAAAAATATATTATATTATAAAACTATAAATTTTATAGAAAATGTCTCTGGGAAGTGGTTATATCTTATCGTTCAAAACACCGGATATAAAATAAATTATATATACTTTCACAATAATTAAAACAATCTCAATATCTACCTGAATCTTCTTGAACACTAGTTTATCCCAAATGGTGTCAAACTGAATTTCCCCTCTGAAAGTATGCAACAGAAAGTTAACTACATGGAGTATACTGTACAGCCAGTGTAAGCTTATAGACAACTAATTAAATTTATCTAAAATTACTAATTTCAGTACAATTGTTTGTGACTCCATCCTAATTAATTTGTTTTGTCCAAATATATGCAGATTATATACCTCTGTTCACCTTGTCAATCGATTAATCAATCACTCAATCAATTAATAGTTCCAGTCATTGCACATGGTGCTGTTCCAAAAAGATACTATTAAAAAAAGGTGCATCTTGAGTAGTGACTTAAAACTGACAAGTAAAGGTGATTGTTTAATGTTTAAAAGAAGATTATTCCAGAACCTCCAACAGTGCTGAAAGCTTGATCTCCCCTATGACGTTTGCTCCTTGGGATATCCAGGATCACTTGTTGGCCAGATATTAGTTCTTGCCTCCTCTCTTTGATGTTTAGCAAGTCAGAGGCTATGTTCAGACTTCAAGATAAGCTAGGCTTGAGTTAAGCCTGGCTCAACGTTCAGACTAGCAGGTTTAGCCAGGCGAGAATTTGCATAATAATGAACCGCGTATCCAGGAAACATGTTTCAAAACATTGCTCGGGAAAGTACGCTCGCTCACAGCATACGTAATTGAATGCTGATTGGTCATTTTGTCACCCGAAGTCAATGTATAAGACCCACCACAACGATTAAAGCCCGGCTTAGAAAAGTTAAACACGGATGGCGCACCAGGCCTAGTTACTATAGGAACACAGCCCGGCTTGAGATAAGCCACCTTGTTCAGACTGGCAGGTGAATAAACCCGGTGAGTTGAGCCGGGTTTATCCACCTAGTCTGAACTAGGCCAGAGATGTTTTAGTGGTATTAAGAAAAAAAAAATACAACAACCCAATAAAAACAGACATTTTTTACCATTTTAATGTGGGTTGCTCAGGCAGTGGATATTTTGGTATTCGTTTACTCAAACTTTTCATGATTACTGCTATATATACATACTTTGTCACTTTTAGTTACCACAGTATTTTACCTGTCAAATGCTTTCTTCTTTGAATTTAGTGCCATAGAAAACAAAGTGCGCTTTAACCATCCAGAAGAGTTGACCTGTCCGATGACCTACATAAAACAACAGAGCAATAGTTAGAATTTATACAGACGGGAGCGTCACAGCACCGTTTTAAAACTAAAGGTGGCTAGTGTGTGCTTGCTGAACCATGGAAATCTGTGGTCTCTCCATCAAACTGCTTTCTGTATGTGAAGTGCAGCTTAAGGCCAACTCAGACAGCGTCGGCCGACGCAGCCCGACCCGATTTATCGTCGGGGACAGTCTTGAGCAGTCGTGAGAAATATTAAACATGTTTAATATTCTACGACGCGACTGCCCCCGACGCACACCATCGCGTCTGCGTTTAACTCAAACAGACCCGACGTGACAACAAATCGCGTTGGGCTGCGTCGGCCGATGCTGTCTGAGTTGGCCTTTAGAGTACAGAGTGTGTCAAAAGAAAGATTTGAAATTTGGTAGTGGTAATGGTTGGAGACTATAGCGCATACATAGTTTCTATGTGTTGTATAGCATCGCTCCGCAAACTATGGGTTGCTGAGCGAAAAAGGATTAGTTCACTCAGATATAACAGGGAGGAATTATGATGGCACTTGTATGTGTGAACAAGAAATTTGAATGGAAATCACTGTTTAACTGGTAGCCAATGGAGAGTTTTAAGAGTAGGGGTGATGTGCTGTCCTTTGGGTAGTCATTTGATAACACAGGCTCAGGTATTTAGCTGAAGCTGTATCTTTCTTGATTAATTTTTCCATTAATCCATAAAAGACCCTGTTATAATAATCAGTTCTAGATGTTACAGTAAAAGAGAATGTACCAGCTTTAATGTAGCATCTTCATTCAGAAAGCATCTTAAATCTGACTGATGTTTCAGATGTAGTACGATGCAGATTTAAACATGCTGCCTACATGGTGTGTCAATGACAAAGTCAAGTCAAACGACTCCCCAATATTGCGAACGGCAACAGATGGAAAGATAGTGGCATCACCCACTTGAAGACTTAATGCATTTGGCCAAATTTTCTGATAGCGCGAGTGGATGTATAGATTTGAGTGGTTGGTCCATTCAAGTTTGTAGTACACCATGGTTCACGTGCATGGTATTAAAGGTAGAAAAATATTAGAGTGCCATTACTGGCCAATATTTTGAAAAACACGAAGGAATCCACTGCCTCGATATGATGTATTCTTACAGAAAACTCCATAATTTGCTGTCTGTCTCTTATACACATCTAGATGTGTATAAGAGACAGCTCCTGTGTTCTTCCTCATTGTGAGGACAACTGACAAAAAATACAAAGTAAAGCAATATTCACACACGAAACGAAAACAGAACATCGAATCAGCGGTAAAGAACAAAGGCGCGTAATAAGATGCACATCCTAAACGTTCTACTTAATATGGAATAAACAAAGTAGATAAAAGCTGGATAAAGGCCTAGGAACCAAGAAAAAAATTAAGTATCTATAAATGAATAGTCTGATAAGTAATCTAAGTCTTTATTTAAACCTTTAATATAAGAATTGGTTCTAAGAATCCACTTCAATTCTTCTTTGCGTCTATGTGAGAGGGATAAAAAGTTATATTTAGCGACCAAAATAAATCTTATGTCATTAATGCTATGGTTAGGTTGATTGAAGTGACAGGCTACTGGGAAACCAGTGGAGTTGTCTCTGATGGTTTTTTTGTGATTATTAAATCGGAGGCGGAATTTAGTGCCAGTCTCTCCAATGTAATTACCAATTTGACATTTGTTACAAA